GTTTCCAAGGCTGTAAATCTTTACAGAAGTAGATTGCCTCATTTTCCTTCCATGGAGCAGCTGGTGGGTTTGAACCACTGACCTTCTGGTTAGCAGCCCAATGCCTTACCCACTATGCCACCAGAGCTCCTTTAAAACAAGGAGGAAGGGTGAAAATAAGGCAAAATGTTAATAATTGCCCAAAGATTTTTCATACTTTTTTGTAAGCTTGAACTATTTTGAAATAATAACCAAGAAAGTGGGGAAATTATATGAAGCCAAACTAATATGAAGTAAAAGTATATATATTTTATTATCTGCAGAACTAATTTCTTTAGAAGGCTTGAGTATAACATGATACCTGGGAAAATGGCCTTGATTTAGGCAGCCCTGAATTTGAACCCTGTTTGTACTGTACTCCTTAAAAGAACAAAAAAGCAAAACTAATTTCTTATCAAATAAAATGATTTATGTGGCCAGTGGAAGTTTCTATACTACTCAGGAAAATCTTAGATATACTGATTTCTGAGTTAGCATTGTTGCTAAGAATTTTACGTTTACATGCTAAAAACATTAGCCAATAAACACTGTGTCAAGTTTTTGGGTCCAGAATTCAAAACTGTGGTTAAGAACTATAACCACTGAGACAGCAAAATCTTTAAAAACATGTTGAAATTTTTGCTTGACTTACCCAGTTTCCTGTTGAATTATATATATCTACTTAGGAAATGGTGAACCTAGGTAAAAGTGCTTTCTAAAACATTAGGTTGTTGACCAAGACTGAGACAATTTATTTATTTGTTTTGGTGGACCTTAAAGAAATAATCATATGATTCTATGTTTCAGTTTATAGAATAACTCAGGGTTAGTGTAGAAAATAGAATTTCTGTTGAGAGCAGAAATGGGGGAGGAGCGTGGAGGGCTTGGCAATGTGAACAGGCAGTTGGCCTGACACAACTGCATACACAGGGTTTCCTGGGAGAGAGTTAGAAACAAACACTTATACCACAGCTTAGGGCTGACTTCTGTTCTCAAAAGATACAAGCCTTGGAAGCATTTGGAAGCATCCATGAGGGCCCTTCTTTTCCAAAGGTTAAAGAAACTGTTCTGTAATTTCTGACTCACCCCTGTAATTCAGTTCTGCCTAGGGTGAACATGTTTTATATTTTGTCTGTCCTGAGAAACTGGTTGATAATCATGGCTACTCACAGAGCTGTAATCTTAAAGAATATATGGCCTCAAAGATGCTAATTTAAACTTACAGGGCTTGAAGTCTTTATTTCTACTACATTTAGGCGTGTCGTCGTAAATAGTTGATGATCCAATTGATTAAATTATCGTTCTGGGCATTTTTCTGGCTTTTCACCTACCTTAATGTATGCTAATTGTATTCCCGTACTTTGGACTTTGAATATGTTAGTTATCTGGGAATATGAGCAACTAAGTTTTTTGTCCTGCTTGAATATTCATGTTTGCTTTTGGAATCCATATCCGTAATTTATCAGAGTGAAGGCAAACTCATAAAAGCAGTGGCCCAAAAAACTGGAGATGGTGGCATGCAGCCTTCTCTCTGCACCTCTGGAATCTTAAACGCTCTGAAAACAGATAACCTTTGTTACTCCATTTTACAAAGAAGTGAAGCAACTTGCCCAGAGTCACCCAGCTAGTATTAAAATCTTGAAACCTAGACAGCAACTCTAGAACCTGTGCATCTAACAGGCTGCCAAAGGGGCAGGGAGGCCGCATCTTCTGACCTCCTCTAACCACACGAGAGGAAGACTGAATCACCATCAGTAGCCCAAAGCCTATTCCTGCAAGGCCAGACATGCTGCCTCCCTCCAGCCCTTTCACCAACCCTGACACCAACCGTTCCTCCTGCAGCACTCACCACCTTTCTGCTGGGTTCGATAATTCACTGCAGTGGCCACACAGAACTCACAGATTATGGGGTTTATTAGGGAAGCAACAGGCTACAATTCAAATTCAGAAATGCACTCAGTCTCTCTTAGCCAGCCGTCTCTCAGCCAACAGTCTCTCTCAGCAGTGCATATCTCTCAGTGTCTCAGCAGTGTGTATCTCTCAGTGTCTCTCTCAGCAGTGTGTGTCTCTCAGCAGTATGTGTCTCTTGTGTTTCTCTCTCAGCAATGAATGTCTCTCACATCTCTCAGCCAGCAGTGAGAGATTCCTTCTGCCTCTAGAAGGGCTCCTTTTGAGCCTGGCAGAGTGACTGAACTAACCAGTCCCAACATCTGAATTCTGTACACCTGAGAGAGAGAGCAAACTTCCCAGAAAATTACTTCATGCTGCTCCCAACAGAAATACCCCAGGTGGATAACTTTGACAATCAGGAGCTACTCAGCTGCTCACAGCAAATTCCACCATGGAGTTTACAAAGACTTACGGCTAGCAAAGGCACACTATGTAATTTACTACACTGTACAGGCCTTATACTACCTGCCTGGCCAGCTTGTCCTTTTTCAGTTAAAACAAGATCAGTGATGAAGCTGGGATTCCAGTTGAGATTTGATAGCTCCAGAACCTGTGCTTTCCTGTTCCACCACATGAAATAACTTGGCTTTAAGAGCCCTGGTAGAGGAGTCCTGGTGGTGCAGTAGTTAAAGCATTCGGTTACTAACCAAGAGGTCAGCAGTTTGAACCTACCAGCTGCTCCGCAGAAGAAAGATAAGGCAGTCTACTTCTGTAAATATTTGCAGCCTTGGAAATTCTGTGGGGCAGTTCAGCTCTGTCCTGAAAAGAGTTGTGGGAATTGGAATCAACTCAATGGCAGGGAGTTTGGTTTTGGTTTGGTTTAAGAGCCTGATGGTGCAATGGTTAATTGCTTGACAGTGTTGTTGGCAGTTTGAACCCACCCAACGGCTCTGCAGTAGAAAAACATAGTGATCTGCTCTCATAAAGATTACTGCCTAGGAGTTTTACCCTGTCATATAGGGTCACTGTGAGTCAGAGTTGACTCAGTGGCAATCAATAACAACAGTAATAACACTGTGCATGTTTCACATTTTATGGAAGAGAAAGTCCCTCCAGGCCCTCCTTATAAACATTGTTTTATTAAACTTTCTCAAAATCCTTATTCTTTCCATTTTGGTAGTTATCTATTTATTCTATATTATAGAGGAATAAGTTCCAGTAAAAAAAAAAAAAGAAAGAAAGAAAAGAAACTGTTTGCCTTACTGATAGTGATTTTAATATTACTTACAAATCTGAATACTTTGTGAAGTATCCAAATCATATTTAAAAGCTCTGATTTCCTTCCATCATCTTATCTGAGTTTAATTTGGGCTGATTTGATTAGGAGACCTGTAGTTCTAATTTGAATTACTCGAGTTTGGGGGACAGCATATAAGTGGGTTCCATGGTTTGTGGATTTTAGTGATGACCAGTAAAGACTTGTGGCTGTGACCCAGTTACAGCTGCTGGTTTCATGGCTCTTCTCCTGCTCTTGAGTTTCTTTTGCAGTATCAAAAGCTGACTTGCAAGAAAAGGACACACAAAAAGAAGTAGATGAAGCCTTCTGGAATACAAGGATCATTCCGATTTTGCATGAATTAGAGACAGGTAAAACAAAACAAAAACCCAACAGTTTTTGTCTTAAATGGAAAACATCTATAGTTATGTATATGTTCACTTTGCCCTGGTATGTTTTAGTACACTTTGACTATTGTCATTTATGTGAACATGTTCAAAAAAATGAAACAATTTCTTCTTTATACAGTAAAGTGCCTATATGGAGTCCCTAGGTGGTACAGTTGGTTAAGTGCTCAGCTACCAACCAGGAGGCTGGTGGTTCTAATCTACCCAGAGGCACCTCAGAAGAAAGGCCTGGTGATCTACTTCTGAAAAGTCACAACCATTGAAATCCCTCTGACACACGTGGGGTCTCCATGAGTTAGAACTGACTAAACAGCAACTATTGATTTATTTTTTAAATGTGCTTATTGAATATTGCATGTAAACCTTGTAAGTAAAATGATATTTTAAATATACCAAGACAGCCTATTTTAAAAATTCTGTTTGTAATATAAACAATCCCATCTTCTGCCTGAGAAGTTCTAGCTTGATCTCTCTTGATCATGGAAGAAAGTAAGAGATTAAAACAGGTTTCAGACCTCTGAAAGTATGACTGAAGACTCACAGCCTGGCATCTGTGACAGATGTGCCCATGATTTACTAGATCCAAATATATGTATGTATCCTGCTTTCCTAAGATTGAGCACATCTATCGAGGATGCGCTCGCAGGGGAGGAAGTGGCCTGGAATGTGGCAGCACTTGCTATACCCTGGAGTGGCCCAGTAAGGAAGGCCTACAACTGATGTGTCCTGGCAAGGGTCTGGAGAACTTGCCAGAGGGATAATAGACTCCTATCTTGTCCCCTTCTGTGGTTTCTCAGACACTCTATTTCTGAAGTTGAAACAGGTTCCTTGGAGCTGTGGTTGTAGCCCAAGGGCCAAGCACAGTGTCTGACATGGAGCCCACAGTAGCAGGCCCTCGGTAGGAATTATTGCATGGATGCTCCTTGGATGGGTGAGCCACCATGGTAGCCACAGGAAGATACTGTAGGAGAAGCAGAATAAGTGAGTCCTCCCCAGCAACCCAATAGGGAGTTTAGGCAAAAGACCTGCTTCTTAAAAGTTCAAGGGACCTGACCGCTCTTCGGCTCACTGTTGGTGCCTGGTTGTGATCATGGTTGAGCAGCAGAGCCCCAGACGGGGTTTCTGGTCCCAGATTGCTACTAAGCATATGAGTGTAGGGGAATCACTTGCTCTCTGCGGCGGGAGTGTCCACACCCACCAGAGGAGGAGTGGAGGATCTGAGATCATCTCCAAAGTGCTCTGCAGCTTTAAGGTCCTAAAGACTGTGAACGGATGGAGGACTTACCCTTTCTGGAGGCACAAATTCTCACCCTCATATTAATGTGCTAGGTTAACTTTGGACTCCTAAATCTTAGAAAACTAGTGAGACCAATCAGTCTAGGTAAGGATGGGGGAAAAAAAGAAAACCTTCTTAGGAATTGGGGAGGCTGAGTCAGTAGCACAAAGACCTATCTAAGAGGAGATGTTCAGCATGAAAGATCTAAAGAGGGCCTTGAGGGCTCTGCCACCATGGCCGCGAGCCTGAACACTCGAACAGAAGATGGGCTTTGTGAGAGGATTGTTAAACACGGAAGTGTGTGTCTGTCCTCATAGACAGCTCTAATAACAGCAACGGCAGAGGTTGGATTCCTTGACAGCTCCTTGAGATCCTGAGATCCTTTTTTCTTGTAATTTTGGTATAATTTGAGACTTACAGAAATGTTGCAAGAATAGTACCACACATGCACACACACAAAAATACAACAAAACCTTGGTAGCTGGAACTCAATGGGACTGGCTTGTTTGTCCGAGTCTCACAAGTTTTCCATGTTTGACTGGGTGCAGCCTTATCACTTTTCTATTGCTTGTTTTAGTGGAAAATCTTTCTCTGATAGTCTTCCATCTTAACCCAGGTTCCAGCTTTCATAGATTTTACTGTAATGAAAGAGTCTGTGTGTACTATTTACCCAGATTCTCAAATATTAGTATTTTGCCATATTTGCTTTATCATTCCACTCCCCCTTTTTCCCCACCTCTACACACACACATACACACATAGATTTTTTGTTTGCCTGTTTTGTTTAGCCATTTGAGAACAAATTGCAGACATCATGTCCCATGCCCCCAAGTACCTTGGCCTGCATTAAAACAGAAAAAAAAAAAAAAAAAGGCATTCTCTTACATATCTGAAAATTATAATTGATACAGTACTATGCAAACTATCTTTGGATTTTGCCAATTGTGCCAATAATTCCTTTATGGAAACAGAAAATCCTGAATCACAAGTTGCAATTATCTGTCCTGTCTCTTTCATGGTCTTGACGTATTTGAGGAGTACAGGTCAATTATTTCATAAAATGTCCAACAATTTGGGTGTGCTGGTGTTTTCTCACTCTTAGATCCAAGTTAGACATTTTGGCAGGTGCTGTGTCCTTCCCAGTGCACTGTGTCAAGAGGCACATTACGGATGATGTTAACTTTGATCACTTGGCTAAGGTGGTGTCTGCCAGGTTTCTCCACTGTCAAGCTACTGTTTTTCCCTGTGTGATTAGTATCTTGTGGGAAGAAGTTACGTTGAAACTATGTTACTATCCTGTTACTGCTCATCAAACTTCCACCCTTTCTCTGCCTCTTGAAAATCTTGATGACTCTTAGATTCAAGTTGTCTTTTGAGATTATGTTACATTTGTAACAATCCAATTGGTTAAGGGTTCATTTGATCAATAGTTTAAATTTGACACTTGAACCTTTAAAATTTTCCTTTTAAGCTGAAATAACTACTATTGAATAGAACTCCTCAAGCTGAAGAGTTTGTGGAAGAAAGTGTTAGAAAAATACCTTGAGGACCACCCACTGCCAGCATATGGCCCATACCCTGGACTCATGGTTTATGAAGAAACTGCCAGTCACAGAAGAATAAAACAACAAAACAAAAGTATTTCTTACAATAGAATTCAGGTTTTTCCCTTTATTTAAAGTTAGGCTAAGTCATTTCCCATCAATTCATTTATTTAAGTGCATAACTGAAAGGCACTGAAGGTTACTTAGCTATTGAGGTTTAAAATTTTTTCTTAGATGTTATTGTTGAAAAGAGCTAAAAATGGCCTGAGTCATTTCCTTCTGCAGGCACACACTTCCTCTATGTGGGCTTTTAAGAGCACATTATGGTATTTATTTAAGATTGGTTTCCTACTTTTAAATTTTGTGATAGAATCTATCAGAGATCATATTTTTTTCAACTGAATAAGTTATACCTTGAATTCTTATACTCCCCTGTATTTCTGCTTTATGTGCTTATATTCCTTATATACTCATTGTATGACTACCACTTTCAAAAACTACTTCCATCAGAATTCTGATTAAAAAATAAAATGTTCCACATCTTCACAAGTGCAAGCCAAAGTATTCTTTTTATGCTCCTCTTTCCCAATAACCACTTCTAATAATGATAGGTCTGGTGACGTTTTGAGATTTTGTTCTATTGGAGCCCTATTTTCTCAGATGATGAGGTTTATTATCGTGAAAAAAAATATTGCTCATAATTTTCATCAACAGATATGTTAGAAAATGAATATGTATTCAGTTATGTTATATGTTCTCCCTGTATCACACATGGTTGAGACAAAGACACAGTTCCTACTGGCTTAGCAGGACATTAATGTGAGGGCTTCAGACATATGATGCATCATACACATCTATCCATGAGCATGAAATGTAAATAGCAATCAAGGTAGCATTTGTTGAATGGAGTTTCAGAGGAGATCCCTGTGGAATAGTGCATCTTTTCTGGAGGAGTTTGGAACATGAAAAGAGCCCCAAAGGACCAAAATCAGTAGGAGCAAGGGTAAGGAGACCAGTCCAGGCCAGTGGAACCATGTTGCAAAGGATTGGAGGTAGAGACACAACTGGTATCCTTCCTGGGGACTGAACAGAGCACTGGCTGAGATGGAGGGTATTTGGAATAAAGAACACTGCCTGTGGTAGTTAAGTTTGTGTGTCAACTTGGCTGGGCCTGGTTGAGTGGCTGGGCAGTTGGATGTAGTTACTCCCCATGGTGAGATTGGTAATTAACTTCATGGTGGAATGTATTGGAGCAGCTGAGTAGCTGCTTTGGGTATGTGGTCTGCTTCCCATATATAAGAAGCAGCTTTGGGAATGGTCTTTAGCTTATGGTATGCTTGAACCCTGCGTGTAGCCGTGTCATTGTTCAGCAGCCTGCCATGCTCTGCAGACTTTGGAACTTTCAATGGACTTGAATGAATGGCCTGCCATGTGGTTTGGTAACATCGGGACTGTGCCATTTTATTTGTCGACCTTGGGCTTGTTAGCCTCAGCAGCCAGTAGCTGCCTAAGTAAAGAGATACCTCTAGCTTCAGTGGGCCAGGAGCAGGAGGCAGAGCTGAAGCCCAAGGTCGAGGGGCTTTCACCTGGCCCCTAGAGCCTGGCCCTTTGAATTCAGACTTCTAGCCTCCCGAACTGTAAGAGAATAAACTCCTGTTTGTTCAAGCCATCCCATTTATGATATATTCCTGTCAGAGTGGCACTAGGTAACCAGAACACTGCCATTCCTTTTTACACTCTTCGAAAGACTCTAATATACGTAAGCTCATTTATTAGTAAATAATGTCAACATGATTATTTACTAATAAGTCAGCTTACATATAATACAGTCTTTCAAAGAGTGTAGAGAGGAATGGCAGTGTTCAAGTCGAATCTGACTCATAGTGACCCCTCCTTGGGTTTCCAAGGCGATATCGCTACATAAGTAGATTGCCCAACCTGCCTTCCGGGGAGTGGCTTGTGGGTTTGAACCACCAGCCTTCTGGTTAGCAGTCAAATGCCTTAGGCACTATGCCACCAGAGCCTCCCTGTCAAACATAGACAGTATTAAGGAAAAGCCCCATAATTATTCCCCTGGATGTCCTCAAGTTTCTGAACTGTATTGCCCCCTTCTCTTATCCCTTCCATCGATCTGATTTTTCTTTTCGTTTCTTTGGTCCATTTCCTATGTTTGACACACTTGAAAAATTGACCTTAAATATGTTGCTTTGCTCTCTTTGCTCTTATGACAGAAAACGACGTTGAAGCTGTTTGTGCTGCTTGCACACACCTTCATCGTGTTTTAGAGGAAGGCAACATGCTTGGAAATAAATTTAAGAGAAGAAGTGTTCTCCTGAAGACCCTATATAAACTAGTGGATGTTGGTTCAGATATGCTCAGCCTTAAGCTTGCAAAAATTATTCTAGCAGTAAGTTTTTCTTTCCTCTGATTTAGTAGATTATAGCACATAAAGTCTTGTTTAATGCTTTATTTAAAAATGTTACAGAGAAGGTAAGAGATTTAGTGCATTCATTTAGAATCCAAAAAAGAAAAAATGAAGGTAATAATTATCTGACATCCCTGAATATGACTGGAAAGTGCTGCCTAAGGAACTAAGGTTGAATGCATAGAAAATGTTCAAATAAACTCCTACATTTGGACTGTGACTAGGTTTTATTTTTTTAAAAAATCTAACAATAGGCAAATACATTCAAAACTGTTGCTCAAATAACTTGACTGGAAGTCAGTATCTGATATTGCAGGCTGTGGTTTCTGCCCTCTGGCTCCTGCCGGGTGCTTGATTCTGCACACAATTTAATAAATAACTTAAGATAATTCAGGCCATGGGCACAATGGCCAGGTGCTTTGTGAATCAACTGGAAACAGAACCAGCTGCATGTAGTCATGGGAAGGTCCACCTCAGTGGTTGTAGAAGGCTCCCTGAAGTGTTAGAAGAAAAAGCCAGACACCAAATGAAAGTCTGTGCAAACTTAGTCTCGAACAAAATGATATCATTGTTTGAGGGGAACACTTTGTTGTCACAGCCATAAACAGTTGGAAACTAAAAGATAAGACACACTTATTATAGAATGTTCTAAGAGAGCTGCTAAAACGAATGAAGCTTTGTTTACCTGGTTTCATGAAAGTAAAAGCTTTTATGATAACACCTCGTAATTCACATCATTTGAAATCTTAAAGTACTCAGTGAAGGTAAGTGTTGACAGTAGTTACCAATAGTTTAGTAAGAGCGTCCACAGTTTCTCATTTTGATAATGTCGTCTTTCATAATAAATCAGTATCTTAAATGTGACTTTTTTGGAGGCTGCATTCTTATTTGACTGTTATCCTAATCCATTCGGTCTCTTTTTTTCATTGTAATATGTGTGTCACAAAGCAACATTTATTTGAAATAATATCATTGGTATTTTCATTTCCCCCCTCTGTTGATGATGTTTGACCAATTAGCTTTAATTAAATAAAAAATAGCATAAACCTCAGCGAGGATTTAAAGTAAAAAAAAAAAAAAAATGAAAAGGTATTTGCATGCTTGCCCTCACCCCTGACTAGCCCTGGATTCAAGGGGTGAGGGGTGTGAGCCTGGAGTCCTCTGCCCATGCAGTTGCCGTGGGGGGAATCCAGGCTGCCAGCCACCCAGGACTTTGCTTTCCTTTTTCATCTGTGTCTTAGAAATTTTGCTGTGAATATACCAAGCTGGAAAAAAAAAAAAAAAAACTCTTTTTGAGAAAATGTCATGAAATTGTTAATGTTTTGCAGAGAAAATATCGTTTAGGTTATTAAGGGTGTCATTCAAATTAATTATATCCATGACACAATTTAACTGTTTTAGGGCAAAAGGCTAAGTAATCTTGCAGGCAGTGAGCACACTCTGAACTAAAACATGTGATTAGATGAAGCCCTCTGCCTGGCACTGACTGCCTGGCTGAGGCAGAGACCAGACCAGATAGGCCAACTCCAGAATGCACAAACACAGGTTCCTCCTTTCTGATTAACTGTAGAGCCATAAGGTCAGAAGAGGCCTTCAACGTCTTCAAGTCCAACTCTCCATCTACTGCCTGAATCTCTTGTAACATTCCAGGGAAAATGTTATTTCTAAGTGACCACATTTGAAAAAAAATAAATAAATAAAACTGTTGAAGAAGAATCAGCAAAAACCAAAGGTATATGAGGCTAAGACTAACTTCTTTCTGCCAATATATCATCTACCAGTTTAATATTACACTTCAGACATTTAAGTTTGGTTATAGTTTAAAAATTTCAGTGAACATTAAGTTAGTCACTCTAGTTAACACATTCTTTGGTTAGGTGAGATTTTGCTAGACAGTCATTTCAATTTTAACATTTTTATTGAAAAATCTTACAAAAACGTATCAGTCTACATAAAGTTTTTGTTTTTTATTTTAAGAATACAAGCATATATACAGTATGAGTGTGATTATATTCAGGAGAGGAAAAAATCCATGCCTGATGCACATCACAGAGAGAAACAGAAAAGAATTATAGCAATGTGTCAACAGTGATCATACATAGTGTTAGCATTATGGGGGATTGATAAACTTTTCAAGTTGCCAAAAATGCTTTAAGTAGACTCGCCTACTATTTTAACATAAGAAACTACCCTATGGTAAGAGCCTACTCGGTGTTCCAGACTCTTCCTGGGAAGTGAAGCAAACAGAGCCCCTGCCCTCCCCTCTTTGGCTGTTGTAGCAGGAGAGGCAGACCGTAAACACAAATAAAGTGCTATCGGGGTTAGTGGGTGCTGGGGGAGGAAAACAAAGCAGGGTAAAGTGATGGGAGGAAGAGCTGCTTTACATAAAACTAAAACCAAACCCACTGCCACTGACTCGGTTCTGACTCATAGCGACCCCCTTTGGGTTTTCGAGGCGGTCAACCTTTATGGAAGTAGATTGTCCAGTTTTGCTTCTGTGGAGTAGTTGCTGGGTTTGAACCACCAATCTTCTGGCTAGCAGTCAGATGTCTTAGGCACTGTGCTACCAGAGCATCTTTGTATTATATAAGGCAATCTATATTCCTTACATATAATTTAATATTTTATTATATGTGCATGTCTCAAACTCATAATTATCAGTGATAGTTATCCCTGGGGAATATAGAGGAAATTGTTTTAAATGTCACCTAACCTTACAGTATGCCGGGACATTGTTGTGGCTGTCTTTTTTTTTTTTTAATGAAATCTCTGACACCAGATATTTTGTTGTTGTCTGTTGCTGCTTTTCATTAAAAATAGGTGTCAGGGAGGGAGGGAGTTCAGTTAGTTTTATTCACTCATTTATTTGACAAGTTTCACATGGACCACACATAGAATAGTAATAAACAAATCATAGTTTTGACCTCAAAGAGCTCACAACAATATGTATTTCCATTGATACAGATCGTTTTTCTATTCAGTCAGCTTATTTTCTCTTTTTTTCTAATAATATATTTTTAAAACCTAATCATTACAATTTAGAAAATGTTCTATTTCCCTTTTCCTCCTGAGAACAGGACTCTCCATTCCACCCTGCATTAGTTTCTGAGGTTTCAGTAACAGTGCTGCTCTGACTTTAAAGAGTTCTCCAGTCACATGGGAGCCTGGTTGAAATGCAGATGTGAATTCAGTAGGTCCAGGTGAGGCCTGAGAGTCTGCATTTGCATTGTCCACTTTGGTGATGCCAAGATGATTTATGTGACCCTTCGGAAGGCACAGGCTGCAAAATGAGAATGACAACACCTAATTGGCATTGTTGAAACTGACCCTGAAGCTGAAGCTGCTCTGTGGGCAGTGCTCATCTTTCCCCCTCCAGCACGGGGCTGGCCATTTTGGCATCTCCTTCATTGACCAGCACTGTGCCTGCAATAGGAGCTTGCTAAATATTTATCAGGGAGCTCTGGTAGCATAGTGCCAAGGCACTTGACTGCTAACCAGAAGGCTGACGGTTCAAACCCACCAGCCACTTCTCAGAAGGAAGATGGGGCAATCTACTTCTATAGTGATACTGCCTCGGAAACTCAAGGAGGGGTCGCCATGAGTTGGGTCCGACTTGACGGCAAATAACAACAACAAATATTTATCAAACAACACAGAATAACTCTTTTAAAAATATGTGTGACAAATTCTTCTTTTTTTCAAACCAGAAACTAGAAAATATATATTAAAGATAATTTTATAGTTTTAATGATTTGGAAAAAACCCTATAATGCCATCCTTATCACACACAGATATTTATTTGTTCAGATGGCCTCATTTCTACAAACATTTTCACATTATTGCAATGAGGACACAGAATATCTTCATCTAACAGTAGATGAATGTTTTTCCCTTAAACAGTGTCACAGTTATCATTTTTGTGATAGCTTAATAGTATAGAACTGATAACTCCATGGTTTATGAAGTTTTACCCCAATATTGTGCATTTAGGTCAGTTTTATTTTTATTCTTTACTATTTTATATAAATATGCAGCCAATTTAGGATATTAGCTAATTTAGTCATCCTATCCTGTGCTTTTAATACTGTGTACTTCCTCATTGCCCCATGCTTAATTTACCTAGATAATTTTGTATTATTTACAAGGTGCTTTTAAACTTTGGATATTACTTGTGATTATCTCAAAGCATTCTAGAAATAGCCTTTAAAAATAAATATGTATTTGGGACTTTTGGTAAGATGGAGGAATAGGCAGACAAATGACACAGACCCTCTTCAACAAAGAAAAGAGAAACCAATGGACAGGGATACAGAAGATAATCCTGGAACCCTGAGCTTTGAAAGAAACTATACAGGCACCAACTAATGGAAAAACCTGAACGAAAACAGTGACTACAGAGACATTCGGAGCTGCGGCCTGTCGGCTACTCTAATGGGACTAAGAGCCTGAATATTTCCAAGTAGTGCTGGGACCTAAAGATCAGCCCTGTGACCAAGGGCTGCAGGGATGACTGCTCTGGTGGCCTATGACTAGGAAGGGAAACAGTAAAGAGGGAGACAACCTGAGATGTTGACTTTCTCCCATCTGAAGGGTGTAGCCATTTTGATTTGGTGCCTAAGGCACTTGACTGCTAACCAGAAGGCTGGCAGTTCAAACTCACCAGCCACTCCTTGGAAGGAAGGTTGGGCAATTTACTTCTGTAGTGATACTGCCTTGAAAACCCAAGGAGCTGTCGCTATGAGTCAGGTCTGACTTCATGGCACATAACAACAACAACATGTGGCAGCCATTTTGAATATTTAAAGTGACCAAGGGTGCAGCCATTTTGAATATTTATAACCGGCAACCATTTTGGATATTTAAAATGACCAAGGGTGCAGCCATTTTGCATGTTTACAAGTGGCAACCATTTTGGACTTTAGAGTGATAGCACTCTCATTCGGATTCCAGGGACCTAAGAATAGGCTCTGTTTGCCAAGGTCAGCAGGGATATATGAGAGGCTGACAACAGGAAAGGAGACAGGTGGTGAGTGTATAAGTGCTGTCAACTAGCAAATAGAGGAGCACAGTACCCTGCTTGTGTAGATAACATACAGACAAAACAAAGAAAATGAAAATCGTGGGCAAGTCACATCTAATTACCAATTAAATATAAACACAAAAACATCACAATACCTCGGAGACAACAGAGCATCACAGTCCACACAAAGAAGCAAGATAAAGCAGGAGAAATAAGGGACCAGGATACAGACCCAAAACACATCGCTGAGAAAGACGTAGCATTGGAACTCCCTGATGAGGAATTCAAAAGAATTATATTTAGGTATCTTCAAAGAATTGAGAAACAGCTCAAGGAAAACACAGAGAAAACCCTAGAACAATTTCAAAAGACAATACAAGAACAAAATGACAAAATAAATGAAAAATTAAAAATGATACAAAATCTACACACAGAAATCCAGAAGATTAATACTAAATTTTCAGAAATAAATAACACATTGAATGGGCAAAGGAGCAGAATTGAATCAATGAAGACGGAATTAGGGAGCTTGAAGGCAAATACCTGAACACTTTTTTTGAAAGAGATAAATCTGAAAAAAGATCAAAACAAAATGAAGAAAGCCTAAGGTTCATGTGGGATACCATCAAAAGGAATAACCTATGTGTCATCGGAATTCCAGAACAGGAAGAGACAAATAAAAACACAGAGAAAATTGTTGAAGATTTGTTGGAAGAGAATTTTCCTGGTATGATGAGAGATGAAAATATATCCATTCAGGAAGTCCAACAAACCCCAAACAGGATAGACCCCAAAAGAAAATCACCAAGACATAGCATCATCAAACTCACCAAAACCAAAGACAAAGAATGAATCATGAGAGCAGCACAGGAAAAATGAAAAGTTACCTACAAGGGGCAAAAATAAGACTAAGCTCGGATTTCTTGACAGAACCCGTGCAGGCGAGAAGACAACAGGATGGTATATATAAAAACCTGAAAAAGAAAAATCTCCAACCAAGAATTATGTACCCAGCAAAACTGTACCTCAAATATGATGGTGAAATTAGGACATTTCCAGATAAGCAGAAATTAAGGGAATTTGTTAAGACCAGACCAGTCTTACAAGAGATACTAAAAGGAGTCCTTTGGACAGAGAAGCAACAACAGCATACAACAACTGACCATTAACACACATGATGATATAACCCAGAAATCAACCCAGCTATGGAAGTATCCAAAGTAAATAAGCCTACAAGATTGTAAACAGGGAACCAGAGACATCAATTGACAAATGAGGACAACTACAAACCAAAAAGGAAAAAACTGTGTTGTTACAGAACTTATAGATGGTAGGAAAGTCAAGACAGCTGCAAGATAGAACGGACTGTTCTAAACTTGGAAAGAAAACTATAAATCACAGCGTAACCTCAAAGAAAAATGAGGACCAGCACAAATATTCAGCAAATACTAAATGAATAACAATGAGGGAAGTAATAACATGATTCATAAACAAAATGAGCTCAGCATAGAAAATTATATAGAAGAAATTGACACCACGAAAAGCACATAACAAAAATGACAGCAACAAATTCATATTTGCCGATAATTACGTATCTGGCAAGGGACTTATCTCTAAGATTTATGGTGGAAGAGTGGATGACCAAACTATGGTACATACACATAATGGAATGCTATGCAGCACTAAAGAATAATGTAGCATCTGCAAAACACCACATAATATGGATGAACTTGGAGGACATTATGCTGAGTGACATAAGTCAATCACAGAAGGATAAATATAGTATTAGTTCATTGTTGTGGAGGGTCAAGGAAAGGTTTATATATGGAGGGAAACATTCTTTGTTGGTTGCCAGTGGTGGGAGGGGAGAGGAGGGAACACTGCAAAAAAGTTTTAAAAAAAGCATTGACCCATGTCACTTGAGATTTGTGTTTTACTGTACATAAATTATATTTCAATAAAATGCATTAAATAAATAAATATGTATTTGTATTATCTAATCAGATGATAGAAGCCCTGGTACTCCAGTGGTTAAAGGGCTCAGCTACCAACTTACAGAGAGGTTGGTGGTTTGAAACTACCAGCCGCTCTGCAGAAGGTAGTGGCGGTCTGCTTCTGTAAAGATTACAGCCTTGGAAACCCTATGGGTTAGGTTAGTTCTATTCTGTCTTATGGGGTCACTAGAGTCGGAATCGACTCACTGGCACTGGGTCTGGTCTGGAATCAAATAGTATTACTTTTTTATTTTCTTTTACACAAATGACAAAGAGGTTAGTAGTTTTTCCCTTTCTTTGCTTTCACTCATATGTTCTTTTCTAAATTAGTTCAATCTGAAATTCTCTTCTCTCTCTTCTTTCACTCTTATGTTTTAAGCAATTACTCCATTTATTTAAATTTATCCACACCATCACACCCTTTCTTCCTCATATGTTCTCTAAAAGGTAATCAGTAATCTCACAGATGATACTAAATGAAATAAGAAATAATGATTATTAAAATGTGCTCACTGTAGATTGATACTGCTTTTCATATCATTGTATCACATACTGGTGTATGCACAAATGTATAAATAGGTGGCCCAGACTTTTGAAAATTGGCTTCCTTAGAACTTTTCCTTATATTCTAAACATACCCTTGCTGTATTTTTAAAATAGATGTTTGTGTTTAAAAGAATTAAGGCATGCCTTTATTTCCCTCTGCAACAGAAATGTGTTTTCTTTCTCTGCAGCTTAAAGTGAGTAGAAAGAATCTTCTGAATGTGTGCAAACTTATATTTAAAATTAGCAGGGCTGAGAAGAATGACTCTCTGATTCAAAATGACAGCATTCTGGGTGAGTGTCATTAAGCTCTACCATTGAGCAACCTTTGGCTTGAGTACAAATGAAATGTTTGGAGAGAAAAGTTATAATTAATGATAGTTGGGGTATTTTATTTTCTAGTAAAATCCAAAGATGATGTGATGCTTACTTTTGCTCTGGGCTTCACTGTGTTTTCCACATTCAGTTCTGTGGTAGTTCGGTTTGTGTGTCAACTTGGCTGGGTCTGGTTGAGTGGCTGGGCAGCTGGTGGTAGTTAATCCCCATGAGGAGACTGGCAATTGACTCCATGGTGGGATCTACCACAAGCAGCTGGGTAGCTGCCATTGGGTATGTGGTCTGCTTCCTGTATATAAGGAGAAGCCTTTGGGAATGGTCTCTAGCCTATGGCACGCTTGGACTCTGCATGTAGCCGTGCCGTTGCTCAGCAGCCTGCTATGCTCTGCCGACCTTGGGACTTACAATGGACTTAAGTTAATGGCCTGCCATGTGGATTGGTAACATCGGGACTGTGCCTTTTTACTTGCCAACCTTGGGGCTTCTCAGCCTCAGCAGCCAACAGCTGTCTGAGTGAAGAAATGCCACTAGCTCCAACGGGCTGGGAGCAGGAGGCAGAGCTGGACCCCAAGATTGAGGAGCTTTCACCCAGCCCCTAGAGCCTGGCACTTTGCACTTGGACTTAAAGCCTCTAAATTGTAGGAATAAACTCCTGTTTGTGAAGGTCATCCCATTTGTGGTATATTCCTGTCAGAGCGGCACTAGGGAACCAGAACAAGTTCAATGTAGGCTAGGAGCATAGTCAGCTAGTTTGTTTATTTCTGTCGATGCCTGTAGTAACATTTTGTGACCTTACAAAGTGTTCCCTATTTAAAAATTCATGTCCTGTACTTGGATTTACTATTTTTTTTAAAGCAATTAATAACATTTGACTTAATTGAAATATTTATTCTTTTGATGTACTGGGGATGACTAAACACTTGTAGAGCATCTCTGGTATAGAACTTTGACATCAAAATGTTTCAGATGTGATTCAAATATGTAGATGGAGAAGTTTGATTATATTCTAACAAGCTGGCTAGTAGGTCCCTGAGTGGTGTGAATGGTTTGTGCTTGACTGCTAGCTTATAGGTCGGTGGTTCAAACCCACCCAGCGGCACCATAGAAGGAGAAAAGAATGGAAGGAATCTATTTCCATTAAGACTATAACCAAGAAAACTCTATAGAGCAATTGTACTCTGTAGTAACACTTGAGGTCACCATAAGTCAGAGTCGATTTGACAGTGATGGGTGTGGGTTTTTTGGCCTACGTAGTAATTATTGAGAAAACCCTAAATAATTAAGATGCTTAATATTTACCCAAATAGAAATCTTTTTTGAATTAGTATTGCTGATACAAGGGAAGGCAGCAACATGGAAACTACTTTGAATCCTCTTTTTTGCAATATATGACAAACTCTCTCAATCTCTCTCTCTGTATATATATGTGTGTGTGTATATATATGTGTGTGTTGTTGTTGTTATGTGCTGTCGAGTCAGACCTGACTCATAGGGACCCCTCCTTAGGTTTCTGAGGCAGTATCACTATGGAAGTAGATTGCCCCATCTTC